CCCCCCCCACTTACCTGAATTGTGGGGTTCTTTTCCCTGCCCCGTCCTATATTTTGTAATACGGTGCAGCTGTGAGTGGTTCTGGCCGCACAGCCGCGCCATCCATTCACAGAAAAATGAATGTGATGACTAAGTCCCATCTGGCACTACAGCAGAGGGACTCCTAGATCGCAATGGAGCACATGTGCGGTGACGTCACCGTACTTGTTTACTTCCTCCAGCCCTATAACTAAAGGTTCCTACCTCTCTACGGACCTGGGGAAAGAGTCTGCAGGAGTTTGTGCATTGCACTGATGGTGGTCGTAATGCACTGCAGGCTCCAATGTAAAAATGTACTAAACTCCCATTTGTTGTATTAATGTGGGGGCATTTATTACATTTTTGCAAGTGTGGACTATCCCTTTAAAGGGTTCGGTTTATTTCCTTCATACTATCCTACATGTTTCTATGCATCACTTTTTAATTTTAATGTCTTGTCCTCCACTTATTTTGCTGTGGCGCAAGTCATTTTTAAGTGGGCTGTAGGGAACACAAATGTGGAAGCATGGATTTTTAAAGGGGCTGTAATAGCGGTGATCTCTAGCAGTCTCCAGTCCATTTTTTTATAGTGGTTTTTTTCAGAGGAAAAAAAAAAAGGACAGAAAAAAAAAAGATGTTGAGAAAAAAATTTCAAAAATACAAAAAAAAAAAAAAAGAAAAAACAAATACAAAGAAAACTAAATAAAAGAAACAAACTATCCTTAATATACCCCTTGCCAAAAAAATAAAATAAATAAACACAAAAATAAATAAAATAAACATACCCCCGACATAAAGAAAGAAAAAAATAGATCTTTATTTGTTTGTTTTTTCCTAAGCAGATCATTGAGAGAAATTAAAATTTTCCGATTTGGCAAAATTTATTTTATTATTTTAAATGTTTTTTTATTTTATTAAACTTATTTTGAAGTGAACTTACTTTTGCTAAAAATCACTCCACTCATCCCGATTTATTACTTATGCGGGCTTTCCTGGCTGCTTAGTAGTACCTTCTATTGGATTATGCTTTGCTGCTCCACTCTCTCAGTACAGGTCTAATAGAATGCCATAAACTATGGAACAGCAAGTGAATAGAAATGTGATGTCATGTTAAAAAAAAGACTTCTTTCATCGAATTAAATGTTACAATTATAACTTAATATGTGTACATACTGAATCTATAATATAGCTTCCTTTATTGTAGCAGCAGATACATTCATCTAAATAAAGCTACTATATATTAAATAATATTCTCTTTTCTTTATAATAGGAGAGCACCCGATTTTTATGCAGGACCAGACACTCTGGAGAAATCTAAGCCTGTGCTTGTACCCTCCACTATGTCATGAATTGACAGCCAACCTCATATAGAGCAGAATACAGTAATCCCCCACTGAATTATGGGAGTAGTTTTTTCCCCCAGTTCAGACATGTCAGCTGTAACATGCTGGGGAGGAGACACGGCAACACAGCGTTTCCAATTTATGTTTTTAATCTTCCAAATGTGCCTAATAGGAAACCCCAGGGCCGCCCCTTTAATAAGGCAGCCTGAGGCTGTTGGGGAGGGGAAGCAAGGCAAAGCTTCTCAGGTTGCTGAGTGTCAGGTGGGGAGATGTGTAAGCGCCATACACATCTCCCCACCCAGCTCTTAACAACCTGGCATGCTCTGGCTGGCGTCCCTCCCAGCTCCTGGCAACCAGTGACATCACTGGTTGCCAGGAGCTGGGCAGGATGCCGGCCAGAGCGTCTCAGGTTCCTAAAAAGCCGGGCGGGGAGATGCAGAGGCTGCAGAGGGGGACTTCACTCTCGTGTCTGGCGGTGGTGCTGTCTCCCCTACCCACCTCACGCTGCTCTGATTAGGGGCACCACCACCACCCTCCTCCCCCCCCCACCCAGTGGCATCACAAGGAGGATGCGGCCCGCACACGGGTGACACCATTGGAGGGGTAACACCAAAATGACTGACAGTCATTTTGGTGTTACCCCCTCTGAAAAGTCGGGCATTCAGTCATGGGCCGAGAGCCCGACAGTTGCAGGAGACCTGGCAGCATATCTTATCCCGCCGGGTGAATGTCCCCTCCTCTCTCTGCCGGCGAATCATCAAGGTGGCCATGCATGACGTCATCGTGTACGCACGTGGTGATGTCACGTGCAAGATGATGTCACAGCGGGTTGTCACCCAGTATCCGCTCTGGGTGACACCCGGGCTCAAGATGCCCCCGCCCCCACCTCAGGTGACAGAAAGCCTAGGGACACCACTGTGAAACCCCCTAACTGTGAATACAGAGAAGGTTGTTTTCCAGTAATTGCTACGGGGGTATATTATGTGGCCAGTACAGAAACTCCTAGCGCTCGGTGTTGCTCTTCTTTAAATAAAAACTATTATTTAAAATGCGTATTTTTAAAATATGTTTCTGTTTGCGATACAAAAATATTTTGAAATAAATAAATAAATAGATACATATTTTTCTAAGGGGGTTCTTTTGTTTTGTCCATTACGCCTCCCGCTGACAAGGCCCCGCGGTTTTCCGCCATTAATATTCAAAGCAGGTCTTACAGGAGTGAATTTACGGCAGGACTAATATGTGGAGAATTCCATCTGTCATATTTTTCACGGTGGATGAACAGGCAGATGTTCACCGTGAGTTCCGTCTCCTTTCTTGGGACCTACCCATAATGCCTCATGTAAAATGGAGCCGCGGCGAGCTATCCGCGGGTGTCAACACAGGCGGATTGCAAGCAGATCACGGAGGATTGAGAGATAATATAATAAAAATATTGTGGATTTTAAGCGGGCCTGTGCGCAAATGTTAAATTAAAGCTATGATTTGCTGGGACGGATGAATGGGTAACAGAAGGGGTCAAAATGTTGCTCCGCCATTGCTGGCTAAAAGCTTAGGCCTTTGGTCATGTGACCTCTGCTGAACGGAGTGATCAGTAGACATGTAAGCTGCGGAAAATTTCGGCTCGGCTATTTCGTTATTTTGGGGTTCGGATCCAAAATTCAATTTAGTTCGGGGTTTTGGATTCGGACGAAATCGGAATTTTCGTTAGTTTCGGATAAGTTTACGAACGAATATTCGTCATGACTTCCACAGAAAAGTATATACAGATATTAATACTAAAGCTGAATCTTCTAGACCCGAATGGCATTTGGGTTTGGGAACCTTAGCTTTAGTAATATATGTATATGGCTCCCAGACCCGAATGGCATTCCAATAATCAGACCCATTCGGATGGATTAAACCGAAAAACACATCTGATTGGCCAGAAAAGTCACATGTCCGATTCAATTCCATTTTTGATCCAAATTCAGACGGGATCCAAAATTCAGAAATGGAAATTCGGACGCATTCGGATTCGGAAATTCAGATGTGTCCGAATGCCCGAAAATACGTACGAATTTTGATCCAGAACAAAACAAATCGCACGTGTCTAGTAAACAGACAGTCTAAACTCTGATCTGTGCCTTCAACAGAGATCATGTGCCCTGGTGCCTAGGATTTTAATCCAAGAATGCAACGGAACTCAGCGTATAAAATATAAAAATCGTCAAGTGATCGATATCTCCATCATCTTCCAAACACTGAAATATCAGTTCTGATGGACTGACCCTTTAAATGGTGCTGTTTTTGGAAGGGACGGGAACTTTAACATTGCGTTGAGGGTTGATACTCTAAAACTGTTGGCGGCAACTAAAAAGGACAGCGGCCTTGTGCCAAAAAAAAAAGACTATTTTTATCATTCAATGGCTTCCTGCTGTGTGCAGCAACGTAGTACAACTGCAAAACTCCTATCTTAAAATAATGACCATTTTCACTGGAAAAAAAAAGATTAAAAAATAAAATCACATTTCTTTGGCAACTTAAAGGCTTATGTAGAGGAGCGTCGTTTTCCTGCATTTGAAATACACATCATAAGATGGCCGGCAGATCCCCTTCACCTTCAATGGTGCATTGTGAATGATTGATCTGAGGTTGCATTTGACCTGCTTTTACGTCGCATTTCTCTGCCCTATCTCTGCAGGTCCTATTGAGGTGCCTTTGCACTGCAGGCAAAGCAAGTCGATTGTAGAGTTTTCAAAAGCATGCCCCTATCAATGCCCGTCCATCAACTTCTGTCTAGGCAAAACCCTAAATAGATTAAAACTTATCATAATTTGTCTTATTTTATACTTAAACTGCGTTCCTTGGCAGTTTGTTCAGACCCGGGTAAACTGGATGTCCTACACTTATGCCGTTGACACTCTACATTGAAGTAGACCTCCATGAAAACCACCATTGGTAAGAGGCCCTCAAAAAAAATGCCGGCACCAAATTCAGGCTGGTGGCGACAAAGGGAGCAGCATGAGGAAAATAAAAGTAGGAGTTTGCTAGTGCTTAAAAAAGAAGGGTTTCAGAGACCTCCGACTTCCACTCCAAATTCAATTTAGAGCTCTGGGTGAAGGTCCCCTTTAAAAACACCAAATTGGTGTTTTTTGTGCAGATTTTGGTTATAACCATTAATAAAAAAAATCTAAGCCCATCAGGCATACGTTTTCAGCAATGTCTGATGCACGCGCAACATCCTTTGGTTTCCGCCATGCCGATGTAACGCTACAGAGGATAAAATTGCGAGGCAGCTTCGGACGACTGGATTTCCACCTGAGCCATTTTGAACTGAGTGCACTGCAGCCACTTCCGCAGGACGGCCGTGTTGTGCGTGATCTGCGCCGATCCTTGCAGTATCCGCAGGTTCTGCTGGTTGGCGTTGTTCTGGATCGCCTGGAGGCGGAGCTGTAGCCCTGCCGATAAATGCTGCAAAAAAAAAAGAGTCGACACACATGTTGGAGGGTTTCGAAAACTGAACGGGTTATCTTTGCTTTCTAAGGCCCAACACTGGGATCATTTTAATAATTTTTTAATGCCAACCCCATGACTTGTCTAAAAGCAGATGTATCTATGATATCAAATGACAGAAGGATTGTGGCCAGGCTATGGACTTTCAATTATGGACATTATCCTAAAAAGCAGTGCATAACCAAACCCTTACTGACCCCTGTAGCTGCAGATACTATGGAGTCATTAAACCTCAAAGTTTTCAGCACAAACACTATCAGGTTGGGTTTTCAACAGTTCAAGCTGAACTACTCCGGCCTTCCCTTCAGTCTTGAATAACAGTCCTCTCCTGGACTGAAATGGCTTCCTCTGATATCACTGCACACAGGTCCGGATTCCCCACAAGGCCCGGACACGGAGCGGCAGGGCGCAGAGGGGCGGCAACGGTGTCCTTGTGGGGAAGTTGCGGGCGCCGGGCGGTAAGTTGCCCTCTCTACATTTAGTCCTGCTTTGCACAAGCAGGACTAAATGTAGTGTGAGGGAAGCCAATTGTTCGTTTACATGTGATCTCGGCGGTGTTGCATTTAACCCTTGTAGGGGGGGGGGTTCGCTGCAAGGGAGGATTTATTTTTCAACTTTAACAATATCTCAACATTTGGACGTCCATAGCCTGGCCACAGTTCTACTTTAAGTCCTGTTAAGTCGCGTAAAAAGAGTTACATTGTTAACGTTTGTTTGACTTTAAATGGATTTTGTTGCAGAAGGTCTCATTGACCAATTGACACTCACCTTTATGTTTGATTGGATCATCGGTAGCCACATCGGTATCAGCTTAAAAGACAACAAAAGAAAATAAAACGTTAGCGATCTTACAGCCATCTCTGTCTAGGACAGCACAACGACCCATCGGGCGGATTGTCTTTGTTGAATCTGAACAACCAATCAAAATCTCAATGCTGGAATCTGATTGGTGATGGTGGAGAACCGCAGGTGGGTCTTGTTTTAAGGAACTACCGTAGATAAATGAGGCCCAGAATAATGAAAGGGTAAATATCAAACGATGAAACTTCAATTACAGAAAGGATAATTCACTCTCCAGGATAATATGGTCTGAAATAAAGACAGAGAGCCGGTCTCTGCAGTTTCTTCATAATTAGCAGGAAAACTGATTCACTTGCAACGCTATTTACTGACTAACTAATTCCATTAAATACTGCAAGCTATTAGGAGACTGCTGAGCACTTCCTCGGGTAAGTCCACTGATTTCTGCTCAGTACTGTGGTGTTAAAGGAAACCTTCCATGATACACACATGGGCTTCAAATCATAAAACTTCAAGCAGCACTTAAAGGAGAACTATGAGGGGAGTACTTTTCACTCACCTCATAGTTCTAGCCGACCTGTGACAATGAGACTGTCACAGGTCGGCTCAGTAGATCGGGAGGTGAGCGAACACATACCGGCGTTCGCTCACTTCTCGATCCTGTCATGGCAGTGAGCCGTGACTGGATTCCCCCCTCCCCGCTCCTCCAGCGCTGACTGGCGGAACGGACGGGGGAGGGGGCGGGTACAGCTGGCTCTGCCTCTCGATAGGCAGAGCCAGCTGTCACTCACGCAGCTGGGCAGATCCAGACATAATTGTCGGCATCCGCTTCAGCTGCGGCGTCTCAGTATACCGCGAGCTGTAGCTCGCAGTATACTGAGCTTAGGGTGGCGGGAGGACGCTAGTTTGTGTCCTCCCGTTACCCTAAGGAGAACTATGGAGAAAAACCCTAACCCCATAGTTCTCCTTTAAAGTGACACTAAACTCAGGTGTTCAATCTTAAAAATGCATTCAAGTAACTTAACTATGAACAACAATGTATCTTATGTGTGTATCACTCGGCTGCAGATCATCCAATCATCTCTGAATTGGTGCTGACACTGTCCTTCCTTCTGGAGGGGGGCTACGTCTGTTCCCCATGGTCCATGTGTGTGTTGTAAAGTAGTCACCGCTCCAAGCTCGCTCCCGGCATGGACTACAATCTCAGGTTTAGTTTACTAATTTGTATTGAGATTGTAGTCCATCACAGGAGTGAGCTTGGAGCGGTGACTACTTTACAACACACACAGGGACCATGGGGAACAGACGTAGCCCCCCTCCAGAAGGAAGGACAGTGTCAGCACCAATTCAGAAATGATTGGAGGATCTACAGCCGAGTGATACACAAATAAGATACATTGTTGTTCATAGTGAAGGTACTTGAATGCATTTTTAAGATTGAACTCCTGAGTTTAGTGCCACTTTCGGGCACCTTAAAGTACCCTTAAGGCACACTAAAATATTTTCTCTTGTGTCATTTTAGCATACTGTAGGTACTATTGTAACCTGATAATTAAGAGCCATGACAGCTACCATTACTGACCTCTCCTTCTAAAATGCTAGTTGCCTATCTATCAGGGTGAACCTCTGACTAGCATATATTAAGCCTAAGGTCTAGAACGAGCATGCACATTTGGATTCCTCGCGTTTAACATACGCATATTGTTTTCAGTAATTCTGAGGTCTTGTTCACACCATGTCCATTGAGCTGTGTTTTTCTGCACACCACCACACATGTATGGTGTGACCAGTGCACATAGAAAACAATTCACAGTTGTCTAAAATGTTTTTGGTGTGCTGTTAACAATTACTGCAAATACTTCAGTCACATGAGGAGTGTCCACCTACTTTTGGCCATAAACAAATGCATATGATAGAATGAAACAACTGTTATACATTGTTATCAGTCACTTTAATGACTATATTCTATGACCGTTCTGATCATTTTAATCAGGTCCTAATAGACAGTCTCATCACACTGATCCAGAGACAATGCTTACTGTAGAACCTGTAACCTATATTATTTTACCTTTATTTCTTAAGATATAGATTTTATACAAAACCAAACCTATGTGCTGTTTTTATATTTTTTGGTTTCTGTTACCCTGGGGAAGAGGGCACCTTAAAACCCCCTAAATGCATTGGCTTGCTTTGTTTTTTTCGGATTATTAATCATACAGTACTTGGACTTTTAACCATCAGTTTGGCACTTTTTTCTTCTACACCAAATGCTTGAAACGCCACCTAGTGGCATTTTGATTTGAGATCGGCCTCACTGGAGTAACTGCACTCTAATATGTGGACTCCATAGTAGGAGATGAAAAACGGTGGGATCCAATGCTCCTATCCCACACTGGCTGTATAAAGACATGACTACACTGCAAGAGGATAAAGCTTCTGGACCATTATGGCTGTTTATTATGCTTCCTTTCCAAATTCCCCAGTTATCAGAAACATGGAGCAGGTTTTGTGGGACAGCTATACTTTACCCCACTGTGAGCAACTGTCTGGAAGGGCTTAGTTACACTTGTAGTTCCTTTGCATCTGCTGCCACCGATGTCTGCTGCAGTGCACTGTGCAGCTCCACTCAGGATAAATCAAGCTCTATTGCTTCATTATCCCTTGGCTATTCCATCTCTGCTCCAGAATATGAATGCAATTATGTCCTTTTAACATTATCAAGATCTGCAATTACACTTCTAAATCTTTGGCCCCAAGATAATTGTTATTGACTTGTTCTGATGAGTCACCTTTCATTCCGTTCTAGAAAGGCACCCTGGCTTCCTATACATCATGTCGTGGAAGAGAAAAAGCTTTCAGGGTAATTAGATAAAGTGTTTTGTTGCATCATACTGACATTCTCAAGCTCGAGAGCTCCTGCCCTTACATAAATATGCCAAACGCCATACAAAAGGCTTTGCAGATGCTAAGGGATTACAAGCACTTGTATGCCAGTAAATGCAGAGATCTGTGTTTCCTGACTGCACGATAGGGTCTGTAGCTGGTCGTATAATTCCCTAAAAGGATTTTACAAATATAAGAATATGATTCCAAAGTGTTTACTTCTCTGGCGATACAAACAATGCACTGCCTAATAAAGTGGCTGAGATAATGGTGTGCAGGATAATGCTGACCATACATGTAAATATATCTCCCATAGGATGATGAGAAGGAAGATCAGGCTCCTGTGATGTTAATCCTGTGCTGTATGCATCAGAGCAATGTAACCTCTCCTCTCTATTAGAGCAGAACCATCAGCATCCCTCTCCACTAGAGACAAGCTATCAGCTCCCTTCTCCATTAGAGACGAGCCATCATCTTTCTTCTCCAGCGGAGCAGAACCATCAGCTCCCATCTTCAACAAGAAGAACCATCAAACTCCCTCCCCATCAAGCAAAACCATCAGTTCCCCTCTTCCTCAGAGTATAATTGTTGGTTACCCTCCATCAGAGTAGAACCATCAGCTCCCCTCTCCATCAAGCAGAACTATTATCTCAGCATCCCTCTCCACAAGACAGGAGCCATCAGCTCCTTTCTCCTTCGGAGCAGTACCATCAGTCCCCATCTCCATCAAGAAGAACCATCAACCTACCTCCCCATCAAGCAGAATCATCAGTTCCCCTCTTCATCAGAGTAGAACTATTGGTTACCCTCTATCAAAGCAGAATTATCAGCTCCCCTCTCCTTCAGAGAAGAACTATCAGCTATCCTCTCAAGCAGAGCAGAACCATCAGATCCTTTTTCTATCAGAGCAGAACCATCAGCTCCCCTCTTTATCAGAGTAGAACCATTAGCAAACCTCCTTATCAGAATAGACCAAACAGCACCCCTCTTCATCAGTTCAGAACCATCAGCTCCCCTCTTTAGCAGAGTAGAAGAATCAGGTCAACTATTCTTAAGTACAGAACCATTAGCTCCCCTTCCCCATCAGAGCAGAACCATCAGCTTACTTCTCCATCATAGGAGAACCATCAGCTCCCCTCTCCATCAAAATAAAACCATCAGCAACCCTCCCCATCAAAATAGAACCATCAGCAACCCTCTCCATCAAAATAGGACCATCATCAACCCTCTCCATAAAAATAGAACCATCAGTAACTCTCTCCATCAGAGTAGAATCATCATGTTCCCTCTTCACCAGAGAAGAACCATCAGCCTGCCTCTCCATCAGGGCAGAACCATCAGCTCCTCTCTCATGAAGAGGAGAACCATCAGTTCTGGATTCAGTTCACAATGTTACCATTATCTGCATGGAAATTACCATCAAAACCTAAAGTGTATGCAAACCCTAACAATAAACTTCTCTTTTTCTGTCCATTCTGGTCTGTTAAAAACACAACTAAAAGCATTTTGTTATATCTGTTTGATGCGTTGCAAAATATGTGGTAATCCTGTCAGAAATGTTGTGAGCTGATAACTTCATGTGTTCTCTGCCTGTGCTGACTGTTATGACTTACATGGTTACTTTCTCTGAGGACTGTGGCCCCACTGCCCTCTATATTATGTAAAATAGTAAAAGGACGGGGTTCCATAGACCTATCTTTTTCTGTTTCTGTTGTCCTGATAGTAGGAAGTGTGAAACTGGTAAGTAAATATAAAGGAAAAAAGCTTGAAGAAAGGACACTAACGCAGCTACCACATCTAACGCTGCATGCGTATGCAAGACAAATTACAACAAAATCTATGCTCTGAAAGCTAAGCCAGCATGCGTTTATTTGAATCATTACTGCACTTTGCTGTAATTCTATGTTTACGTCACAGAGTTCAAAATCACGAGATTCTGATTAAGTGCTATAAATGTAAGCGCTTGGTGCCCCTTGCACCAATCTGTCTGAAAGTAGATAAATATGGTAGCACGTAACTTACTTTTACAAAGACAGTGGAATTGCATTCCTGTAGAGCCTCCAATAAGCTGATCAGATGCAGGCAGACCATCTCCACCATCTGGAAGTGATAAAACACATTCTAAGAGTATGAGTCACGAGGACATCATGTAGCCAATTAATAAGTTAACAGATATAGTCAGTTTAAGTTCTCTTGCAGGGATCACATCTTACGTTTTACTGGATCTCTTAGTGATCCCTCTCAGAACACCATCAACAAGTGGTCTGGCCTTGCAAGGTGCAACAGTACCCTCATCCCACATATACTTGTACTTTCCTATTTCACAGAATCTGATAGGGTCGGAAAGAAAACATATGTGTAGATCTGAGTAAGTCCTGTTGGCCAAGTTTTGTTGGGCAAGTCTTGTTTCCAGGACCAGATCTCTGCACAGCCAACATACCCCTGTTTCTTGTCCTACACGTCATCTCTTTTCTCTCCCTTCTACTTATCCCCTTTTTTGGTCTCTTTCCCCTTTCCTATTTCACTCCCTTAAAATGGAGTGATTGTTGCTCTGGCATTTGCTAACTGAGGTCCCAGGTCAGAGAAACAACCAACAGAAACTAGTAACTGCACTGCTTATACCAAAACATATATTGCATACCTAAGCCATATGAAAATAAACTGATACTTGGGAATGTCTCATTTTTGTTTTGTTTTGTTTTAATTTTTTTTGGCTCGTATCTGGGACTAAAAAAAATATAACCATTTTCCAAAAAAAGAATTTGTCTTAAGCAGTCAACAGGACGCTGTTATTTCATCAACGTGATGACTGAAATGACAAATGAAATATACAATATCATGATAAAAAAATGAAAAACAAGATAAAATACATAATGGACCTGGGTCATTCAGTAGAAGACCTGGGATATATGATCCGGATGCCAGGGTCTAGAGATGCCACTAGACCATACCTAAAAGTAGTGGCTCCCCCTGAGCTTCACAACAGTGGAATAATATATAGGTCCAAGACCAGCCAAGAAGTATAGATAAGGATGACTCCAAGGTGAGATTGGGATGGGGGTTAGCCTAATGAGGCTGAGACTGACGAAAAGACCACTGACCAAGATAAAATACATGATGGACCTTGGTCATCCAGACCCGGGGTATGTGTCCCTGAATGCCAGGGTCTAGCAATGCTCCTGACTAACACTATATCATGCATATATGGGCAGGACATAATGGCTCTATATCAGTGGAATAATATAATGGTCCAAGACCAGCCAAGAACATTAGAAAAGGTTGAGTCCAAGGTGAGATTGGGATGGGAAGGAGCCTAATGAGGCTGAGACTGACGAAAAGACCACTGGCCAAGATAAAATACATGATGGACCTTGGTCATCCAGACCTGTGGTATGTGTCCCTGAATGCCAGGGTCTAGCAATGCTCCTGACTAACACTACATCATGCATATATGGGAACGAAGTACTAGCTCTACATCAGTGGAATAATATCTAGGTACAAGTCCCGCCAAGAAGATTAGAAAAGGTGAGATTTAGATGGGAAAGAACTTAGTGTGGCTGAGACTGAGGAAAGACCACTGACCAAGATAAAATACATGATGGACCTGAGTCATCCAGACCTGTGGTATGTGTCCCTGAATGCCAGGGTCTAGCAATGCTCCTGACTGACACTGCATCTTGCATATATAGGCAGGAAGTAGTAGCTCCCCCTGTGCTCCACATCAGTAGAACAATATATAGGTCCAAGACCAGCCAAGAAGAGTAGAAAAGGTTGAATCCAGGGTGAGCTTCAGATGGGGAAGAACTTAGTGTGGTTGAGACTGAGAAAAAAACACTGAAATGTAAGTCTACTTTTAGACCAAGGCAGGAGCAGTGTTCAAGAGTGGGATGACACTCTCATGAATAGACCAAATGTACTGATATTAATTGAAAAAGGTTTAGTTGTCAAATCATTTTATGATTGTAATATGTAGCATTCGTAATAAAGGTGTCGGTGTGGCAGAACAAGGTAAACTATGAGAATTCGTCAAGGTAGAAGGTGTGAAAGTACAGCTCTAATAATACACTGAACTTAATGTTGAATTTATTTATGGAAGCTTTGCTTTTACACCTTCTACCTAACCACCTTAATTTTCCAGACATGTACATTTTTATTCTACAAAATTGCAATAAATAATTTTTTTCTGCACTTTATATAATTCAGGAAAGTTTTACTTTGTACTTGTCTTTGGTTTTGGTCTGAGCTCAAGATGAGACTGGAGGGCATAAAACTCTGGGGTTAGGATTGACCATACATTCTACAACCGTATGATACTGTATCTGAATTATGTACTAATCCTTGCAGTACTAATGTATTCATCCACAAAGATTTTATTGAAAGTTTTCCAAAAGTGAATAAGTACAGCAAGTTACAAAATGTGAGTCGCAGATGGCAAACAGGTAGGGATCACATGATCCGGATAGTAAACATGCACAGTAGGGTAGTAGAAAGGGGACATAACATCTCAATTGGAGAACAAATGATGGCATCCATTAGGGAAGGGTACTCCAAGAGTCCATGAGAAGACATCTAGCATTGGGTCGAATGTGAGCCTATGTTCACGGCTCCTGGGTTATACAATACAGCCATATCGAAGAAAGAGACAGATGGAGAGGAGAAGAAGGAGTACTACAACAGGAAAAGAGCTCCAGAGAGCTGGGAGATGTAGGAGAGGGTAGGGTAGGGTGTTGTGACGGACGCCGCCACAAAGCACCCCAAAGGAGGACGACCGGTCAGAAGGCCGTCAAGCTCTCCTGAGGCAGAGTTGGATGGGCATATTGAATCCAAGAATCCCAAATTCTCATAAAACGTTTCTGTGATTCCAAGAGGATGCTGGATAATTTCTCATTGATAAAAAAAGAAGTCTATCCTGCGTCGCACCTCTGCAAATGATACAAACTGCTTCTTCCAGGCCTGAGCTATGGCTTGTTTAGGAGCCAACAGGATAAAAACAGCTAGTTTGTGTTGAGACATCGTAAAAATTGCTGGTTTGAGATGTAGGAGTGCGATCCGGGGAGCTTTGGGTACTTGTTTCTGGAAGAGGTTCCGAAGCAGATGGAACGTGTGTGCCCAAAATCTGTTGATCATGGGGCAAGCCCCCCAAATGTGTAAAACGTCCCCATTTACAGAGCAGCCACGAAAACAGAAGGCTGACTTGTTAGGGCATACATGGGCTAGTCTCATCCAGTACTAATATTTTAAGTTACATTTGATCACAGGTTGCCCTCTTCTATGTAACAAGGATTCCAGTGATGGGACCGGACCGGACCGGTTCCACCCAACTGGCTCAGCCATTACAAAGCCAGAAGAGGTTCTCACAGGACCTTGATGGACCTTCTATAATCTAGAATAAAGTAATCACTGAGGGATCCATGTGCAAGAGTGAGAGCTTTGTTGCGGCCTTGTGGGAAGGGATGTTAAAGCGAGGTAACGACAGGGAAGGACAGGGCAGGAAAGAAGAAAAGAAAGGTAAAGGAATGTGAAAGGAGGCACTTTACACTTGCCAGATCTCACCACTGAGGTTCCTAAGAGACAAAATAATCAGCCAAGAGAGTGAACATATTGGTTATCAATCCGAAATAGAAATATCAGTTTTGGGTCAAGATGGCCTTTAAAAAAGAGACTACAAGCTCAGTTCACTAAGCTGTGATGATCCCTATTGGCGCTAATAGGCATTACTTTGAGCTTAGTATTACAAATAGCACATGGCTTATAGCTTAGTGAATTGAGCCTTGTGAGACCGAGACATCACCTCTACCCCCGAGATCTCACACACTCACCACAGTGTTGTGTGCCATCAGCTGTAGGATGCTGGGAGTGACACGGCTCCAGAACTCCAGTGCTGTTAGGATCGCCGTGAAGCTGAACTCATTCTGGTTCTGGACACTTGGAGCGATGGCGGCCTGCTCACAGTACACCGTCCAGAGCTGGGCGAAGATGAAGGCGTGGAAGAGGGAGCACATGTGGAGCACTGAGGTCTGCCAGACACATTATACAGACATTGGGTTAGAATGATGCACACAAATACCTAAATACATTTCATATGTTTAAACAGTAAGGACTCATTCACACGAGAATCGGCCGGCACGTACAGCTCCGTGCGGCGTACACGGCCGTATCGGGCAGCTCCCGGGAAGGACAGGTGCTGCATGTGATTAGTATGCAGCCCCTGTCCTTCTCTATGGGACTATGCGGCCGTACCCCGCCCTACCCTCACCCCCCCTGCATATCTGTACAGGTGCGGGTGTCCCGGCTCGGACGCAGACAGGATCTATCCTGTCAGTGTACGAGTATGGACACCCGCACGGACGTGCGGGGCGGGTGAGCGCAGGGCAGCGCACGGCTGCGTAGTCCAAAGGGACCTCTCCGGGGTCCTGATACCACAATCCCCTTCTGCACCATCAATATTAGACATGTGCACTGCAAAAAAAAATTGTTTTCGGACGAAACTAATGAAAATGAAAAACATTTTCATTTGTTTCATCAAAGGAAACTAATTTTTATGTTGTTATGGATTCGGAGGCAACGAGCCTCCGAACCTGAAACTGCAGAATGAGCGGCGGCCCGTTCTGCTCATGTGCACCGCCATCTTGGAGTGAATCTTGGTATACACCAAGATGGCGGTGCCCGCATGTTCGAGTGCCGCCATCTTGGTGTATACCAAGATCTACTCCAAGATGGCGGTGGGCATGCGCAGAACACTCCAGCAGCATATTTGGCCGCCATCCGTTCTGCTAACGAATTTATGTATGCCACGAATATAGTTTTCGTATATAAAAAATATATTTTCTTACGCAGAAGAGCTCAGTCTGAGAGAGGAAAGGGCAGGAACGGTAGCCAGTCAGGTTTGCAAATGCAAATATATTAACCAGGAGCAAGCTGATTGGAGCAGAGTGAGCAGAGGGATGAGCTGACCAGTCTGCAGCTGCCCATTTACTGTATCAATCAGCAGGTTGTGGATGAAGAGAAAACACCGCTGTATCCCTTAACTGTAAGTGGTGGCTTCCGTCTGCCTGTTCTATATGATGGGGCTGTGTATATCCCAGGACTGGATGAACTGAAATACAAATCCCTCGGCAGTCGGCAGGTGAACAGGTTCCTTATATGTACGATTCATCTTTGTGTTGAGCTGCTTGACTAGAGTTCCGCTTCAAGTAGCTAAATCAGACTGGCCAATGTAATTATATATTGCAATATACACTTTATATAGTACCTTCGATTGTTCGGGGAAACCGATAAGAATCACGATGAGATGATCGGCCACCTGGGAGCCCGCGTCTAGAGGAATTGGGATGCACGGAGAGGGGGAGTTTGGACAGACCACACCGTGGGTGAGTGACCCCAAGAGAAGCCACGACAGGAGGCGGATATGTGACACGCACTCGATGAACTCTTTAGGCCTGATTGGAAAAAAAAAAAGGTAGAATAAGGTGTGGCATTGCGTGGCATAGGTGGCCTCAAAGTCACCCAGGGTTCTCAGCCAGAGGGGCTGAGTGGCTCCAGGAAGAAATGGCTTATACCAGGAAACAACTGCCTTTTCAGTCCTTTCCGGGTTTTCTGGATCCTAAATGGGATCCTGGAGCCAGGAGATTTCTTAGAGCTCTGGGTGGGAAGAAATCTCCAGTTCTGGGTCCATGCTTTGGTAGTGACCGGCACCTAATTGTGCACCTGTGCACATCCCTCATGAAGAGTGTGCTGGGATGTGTTCAGGGCCCCACCTGTGAGTGAGGAGAGCTCCACCCCAGAGTTAGTGTGGAGGCCAGTGCAGCAGGGAGCTGCGGGTTTGTGAACCATATTGGGAGGATTGGCATGTTATTGCCGTTGTCTGGAGGAACCAGACAGTGGCCCTGAAGATTGAGGCCTGAGCAGCAGTGCTGCAAGAGAGACTTATTAAAAGACTGGGACACCGTGAGTGTATGGGACAACTCGAGGATTGGTGAGCCCTTATCTGTTATATGCCACAGCAAGCTATTTATGTTGGATTTCGGGATTATCTACCGTTTTGAAAGAAAATAAAGACTCTGTGTTTTGAAAAACCCGCTGTGCGAGTGCTCTGTGAGCTCCCCAATATCACAAAGGAAAATATTGAATACAAATGTATCACTGAAAATAGCCATTTAATCAACTTCCAAGGCAGGTTATATGTGTGTGTGCCATTCTCGATCAATTTCCTATCTACAATATAAGTAGGCTCTACCACATTTACCTAACTACAGTTGGATACAGAACAATTTAAATGAATTAAAGTGCATGTTCACCCAAAAATGACAAAAGCGGGAAAGTAGCTCATGGAACAGATTTGGCTACAGGCGTACCATGTTATTTCACCACGTGTATATGCATGTTTAACACACGTCAATGTGCCGGGAAAAGCGCACATTTTCCTGGCCGCTTTTGGGGTGCCATTAACAAGTAACGGCACCGCAAGCACATTGCACGTTTTTGATGCATTCAGTGACCGCGCATCAATAGGTGTCATTTGCTGCCCCGCTCGACCTCCTGTGACAGGCAGAGGAGTCAGGATGGAGAGCGGGTTACAAGCGCACGGTGATCAGGGCTGATTGCTAAGTGTTTGAAAGTAACTGAGGACATACTATGCGTGCTGTGTCCCCAGTTATGAATGAACAGGAAGTGAACAGGAATGAACATCACGTCCTGTTCATTCTTGGTTGTGAACATAGTCGCTCATACTATATCCACAGTTTATGAATGGACAGGAGCACTCAGTACAGAGCAGGGGTAGCAAACCTCCGGCCCTCCAGCTGTGGTGAAACTACAAATCCCATGATGCATCTCTCTTCGGGAGTCATGTCTGTGGCTGTGAGAATCTTGCAGTGCCTAATGGGATTTGTAGTTCCACCACAGCTGGAGGGGCAGAGGTTTGCTACCCCTGTTATAGAGGCTTTCTGTTCAATCATAACAGGGGCTGCAGAAAAAGGAGATTGAGGTGTGCACTCATGGAATGCATAAGTGTGAACGGGGACTAAAAGGGTTAGCTGGAGTTTTGATTTAATTTGTTCATCAGGTCCATCTAAATTTGTGCATCTAACACTACTCTTTCCATTGGCTGACAATGCTGCTGTCCAATGGTGCTCCTCCTTGGATACAGTGAAGGAATGAGTGTAGCCACCATAGGACAGGAAGTGTGTTACTGGCCGGATCACCAGCTGAAAATAAAGGGGGGAAAAAGGCAAAAAAAGGAAACTAATGCAGCAACCCCATTCAAGGGTTAGTAAGCTGCAATATATAACACTTTTATTTTGTTTTCCATCTATTAAAGAGAAAAAAACAAAAAAATTCCCTTCTGTGTTCACAAATTTAAAAAAAAGGGGCTTTAGATACACTTTGGTGGTTTGTCGTTTCCTCATGTAAATTACAGTGAGCCTTCTACTGGCCCTACTTACCCTTGCTGCATGGCTGAAGGCGGATGATAGAGCCAAGGCAGGTATCGTATGACAGCCTTGTTGTCCCGGTGGTTTCCTCGGGTTATCTCCATCGCAGCTATTTGGGCCAGGCCGACTTTAAGGTGACCGCCAAACGTGTCTTCGTGTAAGGGCTGCGAACAGGTCTTCATGTGGCTCTGAAGGGCAAAGAAACCATCAGACAGAAGATGGAGATACCAGCCTATGGCGTGGCGGAGGCTTACCGGCGCTGGTTTTTTTAACACTTACCTTCAGTTTGGTTAATGTATGCATATCTGCAATGAAGTCCAGAATCTCCCCGATGTATTGGCGCGTGCACTCCATGGCGGCCGTCCCGCACTACAACACAAAGCATCCCGTTATATCAGGCTCTGCTGCGATGGAAGTGAGAGCTGCTCAAAGTGTATGTCAGGTCACAATGGAAAATGAAAAAACATTCAGTACATCTGTGCTATACACCCCCATTTGTCTATACAAATTTCCTAACTTCCTGAGTGAGCTGACAACTCTACCTCTGCCGCACTGAAATCCCAAGCAGTATTGTCAGCTTCTTCCTGGCTGGACTACAGAACACCCATCCAGGGCCGAATTTACTTTCTCTGCTGCCCCAAGGCCAGGTTTCTCAATGTGCTCCCTACCCGCCAACCCCCCCTGCACATGGAGAATGGCAGACCTACAGACTGCATACAATGTCGCCGAGATCACTTGTACAAAATAAGTGGTGGCTTCCCGCTGTACATTTAGCTCTGCTTGCCCAAAGCAGTGCTAAATGTAGAAAACAACTACCCGCCTGGGCATCAGGAGATAGGAATTCCACACCCCCTGCTGCCGGTCTACTACCTGTATCCCGAGGCCAGGCCTTGGTTGGCCTTGTGGGAAATCCAGCCCTGCACCCACCTCCCCTCCACCACCTCCACCCTATGCAAGAGTGATCTGGGCAGGGCTGACAACTCTGCTTGAGATTCTAGCACAGCAGAGGCAGTGTTGTCAGCTCACTATAGAAAGTTAGCAGTACAATTAATTTCTGGCACGATTTCATCAGCATTTGAAATAGCTTTAAAAAAAAAACCTTTTGACTTTAATTTCAATTTAATGTAAAGGAAAATTGCTGATAACAAATCAGCGGAATTAATTCTCCTTGCTATTTGGAGAGCGCCAGGCTTGTAAAGCGTGCGGCACCGGCGAGTCTCCCCGAGCAAACAGATTTTTCCTTTCTATTCAAGAGAGATTAAGTGTGCGGAGCCTTCGCTGTGCGCAGGAAACGCGAGCAAAATAAACGGAGGGATTATCCTTTTATCACAGGAGAGGCGGCTATGGGCACGGAGAGATCTCCCTTCTACTGAGACACATCACGCCGTCCCCATATAAACATCTATTCTATGGAATTGGTTAGGGTCAACCTGTCACCCTGTTAAAGAGAGTGAAGAAATAACAGATCTACTGACAGGCTCAACAGGTATTAGCACTATGTTGCAGAGTCATGAATTATAGCCAGGAGATCTCACTTACTGGTGTTAGAATACACATTACTGTGTTTATAGCAACAACTACTGCAGTATACAATTTCGGTCACTAGATGGCAGTGTTTATAAGTTCTGTTATACAGTATCTATGGTAAATGCCAGGGATGGCCAAACTGCAGCCCTCCAGCTGCGGTGGAACTACGGATCCCATGGGGCTTTGCAAGATTCTCACAGACATGACTCCCGGAGAGAGATGCTTCATGGGATTTGTAGTTTCACCCACAGCTGGAGGGCCGGAGTTTGGCCATCCCTGGTATATGCTCATTTGTATTGAAAAAGGAAGAGAATAAAGCTGCGGCTTCCTTCCTGTTTTAGCCAAGCCATGAGCAGCATGCATATCTGCCTGTGTGCTTGAGTTTCTCTGTGAGGCTGTGCAAGAAGTTCCACCAACTGGAGGTATATAAGAAGCCAGGAGCTGGGTCTGCCCTCCAAACTCTGCCTATAGCTAATATATCACTTTTGGGTGGGTGACCATTTAATGAGTATGAACAGCCCATATGCAGTCAGGTAGCTTTCCCTTTGTGTCCCCGAGAACCTTTCAGCAGGGTACAAAGCTCAGTACTCACCCCAGGTAGAGATGCGATCATCTGCTTGTGAATTATGGTGGACTCGGCTAATTTGGTGCCAACATCTGTGCAAATAAACTGAGAGAACAACCACAGTCATATATAACAGAAACAAATAAATTCCAAAAGATCTTTTCATATTCAAAATGTAACCAAAAGCATCAGCATTGAGGGCTCTTAGGAAGACTATGGAGGAAGGGTGCTGTGATGGTCTCAGGAAGCTATGTACAGCAACCTACCAGGGCCTAACAGCCAATCACTAAACACATGCAATGTCACATGACCAGGGGAGTGACATCACTGGTCCCCTGGGCTGCCCAGCTCCAGCCATGGAGGAGCAAGGAGCTGTGCAAGGGTAAAGCTAATGGGGAGGACGGTGGGTGGGGTTGGGAGATGCCCTTTGCAGAAACACGGTCAATTTTCCATCCATGGTCAAGGTGACTGGGTATCTTTAAAAGCTCCGGATGACTAACCAGTTATCACATTAAAATATCAGATCCTTTATTAGTTTGTAGGTATATTTATTGCGGCATTTTGATCGCCGACTGACACTATCGGCGCGATCATCTACAGCGCAGTTTGTATCTGGTGCAGTGAGCTCAGTTACAAGAAATACGAGATAACGAATCTTTGTAACTTTGTAGATTTTTCGAATGACGTTCGATTGTAAATCTTACATGAGATTTTAGTGATTGGGTTTACATCGACTTTGAGGACTCCTATCTACCATATCTTCTATCATATGTACGTATGTAGATATGTATAGCGGAATTTATATCTGGGGTCATTTATAACGCAGCGCCATCAGTTACGGGATCAGACAAGGAATCTTTGTAGCTTTTTGCTAAAGCAAAACCAAAGTGATTACAATTGGATAATAAGATACAAATACTGCAAAATATGGAAGGTGGGTAATTCGGTTAAAAGCAAAATGGCGGCTCAATTCAACTGCCGGGGGGTGCAATTTTGCCATTTTGGAATAAGGCATTGGAGTCAATGGAGTCAATGAGAAAGGCTAAATAAAGGTTGTTTGGGTGTTTTTTTTAAAGGATGCAATTGTTTTAAATGGTTCTTTTCAACTACCCTGGACCTGTTTTTGCACTGCCTGTGTTAACCTTATTATGTGCAACAAGAGCTTCCACAGGAGAACAAGGAGGATGATACAGTAACAAGAGCTTCTACAGATGAATAAGGAGGATGATATAGCATCAAGAGCCTCCAGAGAAGAACAAGAAGTATTATAGTAATAGGAGCTCCTGCAGGAGAACAAGGAGGATGATATAGTAAGAAGAGCTTCCACGGAAGAACAAGAAGGAGGATATAGTATTAAGAGCTCCTGCAGGAGAACAAGCTGGATGATATAGTAAGAAGAGCTTCCAGAGAATAACATGGAGGATGATTCAGTAACAAGAGCTTCCAGAGAAGAACAAGGAGGATGATATAGTAATAAGAGCTTCCAGAGAAGAACAAGGAGGATGATATAGTAACAAGAGCTTCCAGAGAAGAACAAGGAGGATGATATAGTAATAAGAGCTTCCAGAGAGGAATAAGGAGGATGATATAGTAACAAGAGCTTCCAGAGAGGAACAAGGAGGATGATACAGTAACAAGAGCTTCCAGAGAGGAACAAGGAGGATGATATATTAATAAGAGCTCCTGCAGGAGAACAAGGAGGATGATATAGTAACAAGAGCTTCCAGAGAAGAACAAGGAGGATGATATAGTAACAGGAGCTTCCAGAGAAGAACAAGGAGGATGATATAGTAATAAGAGCTTCCAGAGAGGAATAAGGAGGATGATACAGTAACAAGAGCTTCCAGAGAGGAACAAGGAGGATGATATATTAATAAGAGCTCCTGCAGGAGAACAAGGAGGATGATATAGTAACAAGAGCTTCCAGAGAACAGCAAGGAGGATGATATAGTAACAAGAGCTTCCAGAGAAGAACAAGGAGGATGATATAGTAACAAGAGCTTCCAGAGAAGAACAAGGAGGATGATATAGTAATAAGAGCTTCCAGAGAGGAATAAGGAGGATGATATAGTAACAAGAGCTTCCAGAGAGGAACAAGGAGGATGATACAGTAACAAGAGCTTCCAGAGAGGAACAAGGAGGATGATATATTAATAAGAGCTCCTGCAGGAGAACAAGGAGGATGATATAGTAACAAGAGCTTCCAGAGAACAACAAGGAGGATGATATAGTAACAAGAGCTTCCAGAGAAGAACAAGGAGGATGATATAGTAACAGTAGCTTCCAGAGAAGAACAAGGAGGATGATATAGTAATAAGAGCTTCCAGAGAGGAACAAGGAGGATGATACAGTAACAAGAGCTTCCAGAGAGGAACAAGGAGGATGATATATTAATAAGAGCTCCTGCAGGAGAACAAGGAGGATGATATAGTAACAAGAGCTTCCAGAGAACAGCAAGGAGGATGATATAGTAACAAGAGCTTCCAGAGAAGAACAAGGAGGATGATATAGTAATAAGAGCTTCCAGAGAAGAACAAGGAGGATGATATAGTTAGAAGAGCTTCCAGAGAAGAACAAGGAGGATGATATAGTAACAAGAGCTTCCAGAGAAGAACAAGGAGGATGATATAGTAATAAGAGCTTCCAGAGAAGAACAAGGAGGATGATATAGTAACAAGAGCTTCCAGAGAAGAACAAGGAGGATGATATAGTAACAAGAGCTTCCAGAGAAGAACAAGGAGGATGATATAGTAACAAGAGCTTCCAGAGAAGAACAAGGAGGATGATACAGTAACAACAGATGAACCAAACCATGAGAAAGGCAGATTGTGACTCGCTGAAATGTCTGTTCAATAAAGTTACTACATCGTCTGCCTTGTTCTTATGTAGAAGCCGCTTACTATACCTGTTGTTACATATATATCCATTTCCTGTGGAGCAGTACAGCATTATTCTTGGATGGAGTGAAGACACCAAAGCTGATGTATATACATTTCACCTAAGCAGCACAATTATATATCATTATATTTGCTTTGGACCTGAAGAAGAGAAGTTACCTCTCGAAAGCTTGTCTTTTAAATATGATGTACGTCCTCCAGTGACATTGTCACTGAACATTAAGATGTTTCCTTTAAATACATTAAATCCTCCTTCTGCTTTTAAGAAACTGACCCGTATTCCATTCTTACTTTGCAGTATTTGCATCTTATCATCCAATTACATTAGTTTGGCTTTAGCAGAAAGCTACAAAGATTCCTTATTAGGATTTGTAAAGCATATACTACCCTGTTATGACATCAGTATTGTACTAGAAATACATATTTTAGGTGTTTTTGATAATGCTGAGCCCCTCCTACAGCTCTGCCCTCTGCACGAGCTGCGTACAGCACATTGATGATGTCACTGTTACTTTTACAAGTTGATATCTGGGCTGACATAGGCACTTGTTGCAAACAGAGTGGATTTACTGTATATAATTTGGTGTTATTGAGGAATATGTTAAAATTAAAGTTTTTGTTCCCGGAGTTCAGCTTTAAAAAGCCGAAGCCCCTAATTAGGTCACGTCCGCCTGTAAAAACCACAGCGGCGCAGACACAGATCTGTAATGCCGTTCCTTTGATTGAATAGAAAAAAAGTTTAGCACATAAAGCTCGTGCCCCTGGGACCTTTCCTGAATAAATGGGCTATTTGCTCCTCCATGTAATTATCCCCCACCCCCCACCCCCTCAGTAAATCTCTTGCTTTACCTGAACCAGCAGAAGGAGATTGGTGTCAGGGAGAGGAGACTTCAATTTCAGGGCTTGTAGGAGATCCAGGATGACACTGCGGGTCAAGTAGAATTTATCCCTTTCCTGCAAGAGAAAGACCAACGTCAATTGTCAATCTGCTTATTACGTTCGGTGGTGCTTAGACTCCTTCTCCAAACGGAGCCGGGGAAATCTATGAGGGGGGGGAAACACACCTTTCCTCTCCGCCGTGTGGAAAAATGGTGCATATTTGGTTTTTTTTTTGCACATTTTGATGCGTTGATGGCCGTTCATTTAAATGGGATGCATTAATGCAACAAGCAGGACGTCAAAGTCTGAATGGACCTTTACTCTTTTTAATATAGCAACTAGGGATGCACCAATACCAAGTACAGTACTCGGTACAAGTACAGATCCTTTTCCAGCTCCAAGACTAGACTAGAGAAATATTCAAAAGTTAGGAGGCCGCTGTCATGTGTAAGGAGCACACGGAGCTCCCGGGATTTGTACATCTCTGTTCTAATGTATGATTTTGTTTTTATAAATATATATAAGGGATGCACCGATACCATTTTTTAAAGTACAAGTACTGATACTTGCCCAAGTCCTCACAGATACAAGTACTGATACAATTTTGTTTATTGTCATGTGACAGTTTTTCTAAAACAATACAGACTAATGATTTCAGGACAGTGGTGGAGCACCAGAGCCCGGTCCCAGCCCGGTGCAGCCACGAGGAAATGTTTCCTCCTGGCTGCAGCAGACTGGTCACTGGTGGAGGGGAGACTGAGGAAATGCTTCCTCCTGCCCGCAACAGATTGATCACTGGTGGAGGGGACACTGAGGAAATGCTTCCTCCTGCCTGCAGCAGAATGATCACTGGGGGATGAGAGAAAGAGGAAGTGCTCCATCCTGCTTGCAGCAGACTGACCACCGGAGGAGGAGAGACTGAGGAAATGCTTCCTCCTGCCTACAGCAGATTGATAACATAATTTAAGCCTAGGCACAGTCACTGACTGGAGCTCAAGGATGGCTTTTTCATTATAAAAGGGGGAGCTTGTTATTTATTGTGGGGGTTCTGTTCACGTACACTTGTTGATCTGAACCTGGAGAAGGTTGTTTCTCTTTCCAATAAAATTGGAATTTTCTCTTTGATACAATGTAAAAAATCTACAATTGACTGACGATTATATAATGCATCTGTATAGCAATGTATAATTATTGTAACCCTACAGCATAGAGATTCTGGGAGTCGGTAATATGTTCATGAAAAGTGAGAATTATTGTTAATATAAAGGAGACGCAGGCAATGCCCTGAATCAGGGATATGAAGCCCGCCGTACCCCCTTCCCACCTGACTCAGTACAACTCAGGTCAATACTATTGATGAAGACATAGATTAACATAACGTCCAATTAGTGCAAACCTTTAAACTTGCTGACATGCCTCGGATTACACATCGATTTGCAGATTTCTGTTTCTTGACCCCCAAGGTCTCGCCCTTGTACAGGGATTCAAGTTTTATTGCTTAAAGGCGCCAACGATTAAAAACAAAGCCCTGAGAGACCTACAGAGAACACGCACAACCTGCTCAGGGCTTTAAGCCCAACTCCAGCCACAACATTTTATTTGGTTTTAGATAAAGTGAGCAAAGGTTAAATCCTGTGTTTAATTGGAATTTGAGTAGCATAAGCCCACCTTCTGTCACTCTGTTCTCTCCTCCTGGCAGTATGCTCCATATGACTATATTAATATAATACAGACTGGCAGCCTGTGTTTCCTCCCCTAGTTCCGGTCTGAGTACTAGGGACTGCATGAGGCTCAGATCAAGTCAAGTTTGGATACTTACACTGCTTCCTTTAAAGCTGATCTCAGATATAAAAGACACAACTTAATGCAGCTCTGTAATAATAACACAATACTAAATCCATCATTTAAATGTAAGCAGTGTAAGTAGCTGAATTTGACCTGGTTTAAGCTTCTTGCAGTCCCTGTACAGCAGACCTGGAGTGTGACAGGAAGAAGCAGCATTCTCCTTCACTGTGCAGTCACAGGTGTATCCAGGAGGACCTGGGCTCAGATGAAGTGTGTGGAATGATGTTGGCCATCAGACTACAAACATCTAGTGGCAGAATACAAGTACTGCAGGGAAAACATATCAGCATTAAAGAGTGATTTCTGCATTTCAACACCCACTGATCCCTGTTTCACTTAGCTACTGTGAATACCATCTCCTGCCACCCACGGCAGTCGGTGTCCTCTAACAATCCAGACACTTGAAAACTTCATAATACAGCTCCAGAAGCTGTGTAGCATCATAATGGATGTAATGGCTAGTTGAGAATCTCTTCTATCTTCTGGAAGAAAGAAGGCTCAGAAGAGATTCCCATTGGTGAGCCTGGTCACTTGACCAACAGCACTCCCATCCTTAAAGGACTGTACCTCCATCCCCAATGTACAGCACCTCTATCCTGAAAGGAAAGCACCCCCATCCCCAATGTACAGCACCCCCATGCCTAAAGTACAGCACCCCCATCCCTAATCTAAACAAGGACAGCAGCCCCAAACAGAAAGGACAGCACCACCATCACCAAAGTCCAGCACCCCCCATCCTGAAAGGACATCAAAGCCATCACCAAAGTCCAGCACCCTCATCCTGAAAGAACATCACCCCCATCCCCAAAGGACAGCACCATGACAAGTGTAGTAAGGGCCTACCTTAGTGAATGCTCGGTAACACAAACCGCAAAGCTCGATGAGATACGCCAAGGTGAAGACCCCATTCTGGATGACAAAACTGAGGAGCTTGGAGAACGGTTCCAGCAGACTCTAGAATTACAACAAAAAGTCTCAGACTTTCCAGAACACAATGGCTTGAGTTCGTCATTCCACAGAAGGTTTATTCTAAAGTATATCTGAAGTCTTGGGGAAGAGGCTGTGAAGTTGGAGGGAAATTGGCCTCGGTTTTTGTTTTCTCAGTTATGAACATCACTAAATATTATGTGCAGCCCTTTGGTGATGTTAGGGTTTGAGTTTGAGCCCCCCTACATCAAGTATGTTGACCTCCATTGCTCTAAAGCCTTGGTTCTCAACTGGTGGGTCGTGGCCCAAAAGTGGGTCGCGACCCCGTGTTCAGTGGGTCACCGTATGCCTTCCACTTTTCTAGGTGAGGGGCTCCTCAGCCTCCCCCTAGCGCAACACTGTAAATTCTCACGTGAAGCACAATTCAAAATATGCTGCCTGGTGCCGAGTGTCAGCTTGAGGTGAAGTGGGACGGGGTTATGGCCGCGAGGGAGCTCCATCCATGCGTGCATTGCTTGCAACTCCATCACGTGTCCTGTAGAGGTGCCTGGACCAGAGTGACGTCACATTCTGGCTCCCGGCACCTCTACAGGGCACACAAGGGAGCTGTACCAGCAATGCACATATGGATGGAACTCCATCACAGCACAGCAGCCCACACTGGACCCCAGGCTGATGATCCACTCCAGTTCTTGTAAGATAGGGAGACTGTAAGGATCTTAAAAAAAAGTGTGTATGTGATCTTAAAAAAAGTGTGTATGTGTGTGGGATTGTGTCTGTGGTTGTGTGTGTCTGTCAGTGTGTGTCTGTCACCTCCCACCCAGAATTCGATCACCCGCACCGTAACACGTGGTACCGCAATGCTGTGCGTTCCAGTGCAGTGTGACTTGGGTCATGACTTAAAGTGATGTTCATAGGACCACTTACCCTGGTGGCATTGGTTGTTGGTATCTTCAGCAGGCAAATCATTATCCGCAGACTGGAATCTAAGGAGCACTGCAGAGACAAAGCATCAGTCTATTACCAGATCATTGGAACAAACACAGACCTACAGCTTATTCGGTTCTTTAAAGGAGAACTATGAGGTGAGTGCTTTTCCCTCACCTCATAGTTCTAGCCGACCTGTGACAATGAGACTGTCACAGGTCGGCTCAGTAGATCGGGAGGTGAGCGAACACATACCGGCGTTCGCTCACCTCTCGATCCTGTAACGCCTCTCTGCCGTGACAGGGGAGGGGCTGGATTCCCCCCTCCCCGCTCTGATCCGCCAGCGCTGACTGGTGGATCAGACGGGGGAGGGTACAGCTGGCCCCGCCTCTAGATAGGCAGAGCCAGCTGTCAGTCACAAAGCTGGGCAGGTCCCGGCACAAGTGTCGGGATCCGCTTTAGCTGCGGCGTCTCAGTATACCGTGAGCAGCAGCTCGCGGTATACTGAGACTAGGGTGACGGGAGGACGCTAGTTTGTGTCCTCCCGTTACCCTAAGGAGAAGTATGGGGAAAAGACTTAACCCCACAGTTCTCCTTTAAAGCTGAACTCTGAGCAAAGCACTACCGCCACTAGATGGAGCAGAGGAGCATAGGAATTTCCAAAGTGTTGGAGTTGGGCTTTTGCTTAATGCTTATTTATAGAGTTAGTTTGCCTTTTCACAACCTGGATTCACCAATGTCAGTGGTTGCCAGGAGCTAGGCAGGACGCCGGCCAGAGCATCCCAGGTTGCTAAGAGTCGGGTGGGGAGATGTGTGAGGACCATACACATCTCTCCTCCTGGCTCTTAGCAACTAGAACGGGCGGAGGGATGTGTATGGGGACGGGACACTGGCCTGAGCGTTCCAGGTTGCTAAGAGTCTAGCAGAGAGATGTATAATACCGTTAAATATCTCCCCGCCCAGCTCTTAGCAACCTTGGACAATCCGGCCAGCATCCCACCCAGCCAGGTTGCCAGGAGCTAGACAGGATGCCAGGGCACAATTTGTTGTAGATACACCTCTGCACAATGTTGGCAATATTAGAAAAAGTGTAATGGACAACACATTGGATACAACCAGTGACCCGAAACAACATGTCTTGCATTAAGTCTGTTACCCAGTACCCCTTTTCCACTGTTTACAGCATTTAAGTCCTGAAGAAAGGGGAGTTCTGGGCCCCTGAAACATGCTGGCTGTCTTTCTTATGTGCAATAAAGATTTAATTCACATATTAAGCTTGTGGCACCAACATCTATATTACATTCTTTTGACTACCCCGGTGACCCCCCCCCGGGAAACCCCAGATGACAGGGTTGCCTCTGACATTAGAATTTGTAGTCCCATCCCCTCTACATTCAGGTCCCATCAACATGTTTCTTTGTCATGTGACAAACTCCATCATATATGTCTATTTAATTTTGCCCATAGCTCCACTTTAGGCACCGACCTTTTGTTGAGCTGGCTCCTGGGATACATACAGCTGGGTCCATTGAGATGCAGCCTATACCCTCCATTGGGTAGACGGGTGTCCCTCTTGTATGGGATAGTTAGCGGCTCACATTGGTAATATGTTACCAGTTAGGAAGATCACATACCTTTAGGGGCAGAACGGAAGGAAGTTTGGTGAAGAAAGTCTGGAACTGATTGCAAATAGTTGTCCAGAGATTGCTGGGGGAATCCATGGGTAAGGCCTCCATAAATGTGGCAATGTTTTCTAAGCAGCGTAGCATGGCGCCCCCTGCAGGCAAATTCTTTTTATTGTTTAATCCCTGAAACAAAAAGAGGTATTTGTAAATTCATCGCTTTATATACTCAAGTTGGGTGTTGATGTTGTGCAAAGTATTTTAAAGTAGATGCAAAATCTCATATGAGCCTTAACATGTTAATTGCATTTCAAGAGTCATGTTGAATATTTTGAAATCTGCAGCTTCCCTTACTATAATCCCAGGTGATCCTGCATTGATGAGTCCTTGTTCAGACACTTCCTGTTATAGGGTGACAACACTCTCTCCCCTGTCTCATAAATGTCAGCATAAAAAGCTTCTATGCAATATAGCAACGAGAACTACCCAGGTGTAATATGCTTTTAGAGGTGACTCACCTCCAGCAGTTGGCTGAGGGCAGCGAAGGCGCTCAGTTCATTGAAATCCATTAGCGCCACAGCTAATGTCCGCAAGAAGCTTCCGTCTGTTAAAGAGAAGGTGTTTCATGAGCTCAATAACTGTGTGTGATGGGCCATTCGCTCACAAGACTCGGGGTCCAGACTGGTTACCTTTGATATTGCTCTGGAATAGCTGGGTGAAGATGCCATTGGGTGCCAACTGATGGAATACACAGCGGAGGAACTGTTTCGCTACCCCAGCCACGTTCCCTGGGATCAGCATGCTGCAGGAGGATCACAAATTGAACTTAGAGATCGTTTTTACAAGAAAGCAAAATTATTTTTAAAAAAGCATTAATTCCAACTGAAAGGGTCCATCCACACTTCCATACCTTAGACACAATATCCCACACCTAAAACACATCTAGGAGTCTATTTATAAACAATTTGCAGAGCTATTCCCCCTGAGAAACGTTGAGAACATTCGTCCTTTGCGAACAGAGGCAAAAACAAACATTCTTTGTCTATTTTCTTTCCAGGTCAAATGTAAGATAATACCACACTATGGCCTCTAGATGGAGCTGGTGGAGCACAGGAAATAAATACCTATTTCTTAATGTCCTCAGCTCCATCTAGTGGCCATAATGCTGTATTACATTACATTTGACCTTAAACAATGATTAGAATGATTATTTTTTAAAAAAAACATTGATGCAAAATTGAACAACTGGACATTGCAGCATAAAATTGAAATGTCATGCGTTGGTGGGTACTGATGCATTAATGCATGAGCTGAGCTGAGTCTGAGATGAGCTGATATGTGAAAGAGTCTCACATTCCTGGGAGATACCCTCAGCGAGTCCCCCCTCTGAATTGTATGACTGATTTAAAATCTAGAGGTAAAACTGACACCACCTTGTATCAGTCACGGCAGGTGGGCGGAGTTGAGAACTCATCTTTAGAACTCTTACCAGCAAAGTACTTTGTAGCCTTGGCGTTTACATAGGGGGCGATTTAAAAATCATCCACATAGGCTGGTCCAATGGTCTTTGCACAGAATTCATGCCACTAGATGAAGCCGAGGAGAATAAAAAAATTCCTATGCTCCTTGGCTCCATCTAATGGAGAAAATCCCATGCAGATGGCATTCAGCCAGCATATGGCTGAATGCTGTAATATTATGTCATTTTATGGGGATGGTGACCTATTGCCTCATACTAACGTCAAGATTAATTGCTGATGAGATCATGGATATTACAAGCTGCTGTCATTGTAAAGTAAACCATGGGGGAATCATAACTGGGACCTGCAATGACATCATGACATAAAGAAGAATGAGCCATGAGCTTTCCTCTTCCTTTAGTTCCTGATGTATTTTAGGTAAAATAAAATAGATTTCTTTATTTTGCTTTTATATATTCATTCATATTTAATCATTTGTTGATTTAGAGGGTTAGAATTTAAACAATAAAAATTATGGAACTTATAAAAATCCTCAACTGAAACAATGTGGCAGAAGTCCTATCCTAAAGGTAATCTGCCATCATTTTGATGACTGGGGGACAGGCTGTGGGGACAGACTGGGGGACAGGCTGTGGGGACAGACTGGGGGGCAGACTGAGGGGAAACTGTGGGGCAGACTGTGGGGACATAATTGGGACAGACTGGAGACAGATTGGAGGACATATATATACTGTTTATGTACTGTATATCATTTAAGTGCCCAGTTGTGTGCGTTTTCATAACTTAAATAGGTTATTATTGAGCCTAATCAGCATAGCACACTGAACGGTGATAATGAGTGGGGGTACATGGATGGATACATTATATACAGAAATAGATGTATGTGGTCTGTGAATATTGCACAAGGTTTCCAGTTAAACAAGTCACGATACCAAGCAAAGAGAACAGACAGGGAGTAAAAGAAGACATGGGAATGCAATAAAAAAGAAGGCACCAAATATATATCACTTCTAATGGAACATAGCCAGGAAGGTATCCAGACACACCGGGTGAATCACCAAACTGGATGACCTATAAGAACAATCCATTGTGTGAGGAAAGGGAATCCAAGGCATGGACATTGCTGAGTGACAATGGGAAATAATTGGGTAGTAGTTGGCCGTGTAGGTGCTGTGGGCCCCCCTTTAACTTTATAAGAGATCAGTGAAGGAATATCATCCAGCAGGATTATGTGGCTCTCAGGAGGAGAGAGATGGAATTACATGTTATATTAAGAAAAACTGACCTACATTAGCCAAGAGAATGGCCATCTCTGTGAAAAAAATGACAAAGGATGTGCAGTTTGCCTTACTTACCTTTCGGCTTGATTGGAGAAACTTGTACTGGACGCCAACCTAATGAAATAAAGATATTTTGACAAGAATTGAATGTGAATATTACTGATGTATACAGGGCCAATGCCATTTTACGGTCCATTCAATATTACGTATTCCCTTAAAGTACACTATTTTCCCCCTTCCCCTAGAAAATTACAGTAATACCTTGGTTTACAAGTAACTTGGTTTGAGAGTGTTTTGCAAGACAAGCAAACATTTCTGAAAAATTTTGCCTTGATATACAAGCAATGTCTTGCAATAAGAGCAAAATTTTGTAGAAAAGCGCCACCCGAATAAGGCTGTAGCAGTGCGAGCGATGAGTCTGTTTAACGACAATGCAATGTCACATTGGATAGATTCCTTGTTAAGGTTTCATGAAATGAAAAAGATTCCATTGAGTCAAGAGATAGCAGTGATTCCGTTAGTGATAGTGAAAGTCGTCCTTCACAATGATCCTCCTATCTCTTGTCCCTCTCACACCAGCCACAAAGGTACCGGTAATTGGTTTATTTGTCTTTATATTTTGTATTAGATTATAGTACAGTATTGTAATCATTTTTATATGAATATTTTTGGGTTGTGGAACGAATCATCTGAATTTCCATTATTTCCTATGGGGAAATTAGCTTTGATATACAAGCGCTTTGGATTACAAGCATGCTTCCGGAACTAATTATGCTCGTAAACCAAGGTATTACTGTACCTCATATTTCGTGCCCAACACACCTCTATTGACATTGTATCTAAACCCAAAACCAAAAATGTAACATATTGCAGTTCACTAGTCCTTATACACTGAGTGGCCAGATTATTATGACCACCCCATCAGTACTTCGTTGGGCCACGAGATGACTTCGTTGGGCCGCCTCGTGACTCCACGAGATGTTGAAAGGTGATGCGAGGAATCTGACACTGCACTGTTGCCCTTCTGTTGTCTTGTACCAGTCTTGCCACTCTCCGTTCTGCCCTAACATTGACTAGTCGCTGACGGCCACGATTCGCACGTTCAGACCCAGATTTTCGGCTGTCAGTCCGGTCTTTAAACACTTTAACAACAGCTGCTCTTGAACATTTAACAAATTCTGCTGTTTTGCTGATACTCGCTCCATGGCTCCGAGCGCCAACACTCATCCCACGTTCAAAGGCTGTTAAATCGCGTTGTTTCCCCGTATCTTCAGAAACAAATCACTTCTACTGTCGTGGTAAACAACCCGCTTCCCTATTTATAATGGTCTGGCCCTCTAGCAACTTCAGCGCCAAATTATAGCTAATTTGCCTACAAACGTCAGGTGGTCATAATAATCTGGCCACTCAGTGTACGTGGTAGCTCCATTAGGTTTTTAGGCTCTTCTCGCCTTTGAAATCTAAAATTCAAAAATATTATTAATAAAATATCAATGAATTATAAAAAACGACATAAATAGCAACGACACGACAAAGAATGACATGAAGTGAAACAAAGAACAAGGCAGCAGTCTCAGGAGCAATGACAAAAAAAATCAAATTGTGGGTATGACTGTGTATAAAAAGTGATCCAAGTCACACGTATGGGTCAGGTCTCATGAGACAGACATCTCTAGTGATGGGAACGTTTTAGAAATGGATTATAAATCGTCAGTTTTGCAAACTATAAAACCACACAGAGTCACAAATATGACAACTGTTAACATAGAAAATTCTTATGCGCTCTGTAAAGGTCATACCTGCCCACCGATTGCATAATATCGAGCAGCAGAGGAGCCGCCAAGTCAGGACTCAGGTGAATGAACGTCAGGAGGACAACTATAGCCAGACCTAAAGTCTCCTCGTCGTATTCCTCCAGAATGGCCCCGCAGTCATGGCACCTGGAGAAAGATATAGAATATTCTGTCACCTAGGAGCCAGAAAGTCAATGAGGACAAGCTTTGTACACTGCTTCAGGGTAATGCTTACAAGAAGCACGGATAACTAAAGGTCACCAGACATTAAGCCTAAATGAATCTACCTCTATCTATCTATCTATCTCTCTCTCTTTATATATAGCGCCAACAATTTTACACAGCACTTACATAGTTGCACATTCACATCAGTCCCTACCCTCAAGGAGCTTACAATCTATCTCACATGCATACATAGAGGGGCAACTTTGAGAGGAGCCAATTAACCTACCAGCATGTCTTTGGAGCATGGGAGGAAACCAAAGCACCCGGAGGAAACCCATGCAAGCACAGGGAGAACATGCAAACTCCTTGCAGATAGTGACCCTGGCCGGGATTTTGAACCTAGTGCTGCAAGGCAGAAGTGCTAACCACTACGCCACTGTGCTGCCCCTATCTATCTATCTATCTATCTATCTATCTATCTATCTATCTATCTATCTATCTATCTATCTATATATCTGGTGTTCAGTGCTGGTTTCATGCGCATAGATGGTAATCATATATATAAATTTTGGGAGACATATTGCCTGCCTGGGCTTGCTGGGCACTCACTTATCGGACATTATTGTTGGCTGGTCATCTGAAAAATCCTCAGGGGCGGGAACAAACATGCTGACGATACTGGGGGCCGAGAGTAGGCTGGATTTTGTTGCCCCTTAGAAGACACAAAACATTGTTACCATTAGCTAACATTAAATCACACACTGAACTTGATTTTCTAACAGTTAGAAGATTCCGATTCCAAGTGTAACCAGTGTGGTGTGATCGGCTGTCTTTTCCACGGCAGAGTTGTGCACTTTAGATGTTCTGTGTTAAAAAACTAGAATTCCTGAGAGATCCTGGAATGTTCTGAGGCTGGAGGCCCCCCATTATCAGTGGATGGAATCGACAAGATGAGCCTTTCCAGGAAATACATTTAAAGGGTCATTCCACCTAGAAATGGTTTATAGGTTTTGGAAGGCATCAAAGAGCTAAACCACCCAACAGTTGATGAAATGTCCGCACTTGAGTTCTCCTGTTTCATTATTACTATTATTATACAGGATTTATATAGCGCCAACAGTTTGCGCAGCGCTTTACAGTCTTTAGTCTTTAGACCTGCTGTAGGCATGACAAAGTGGTCCCATTCCCCCTGAACACCCAATACTGGATCGAAACAATGTGCATTAGTGTATGTTACCCACCGATCTGAATATATGGAATGCTCGTCCTGCCCATTGACACCTCTGAAATGCTTCCTAGGACCTCATGTGCAGCTTTGGGGTCATCTAAATTAAAAAAAAGACATATGTTAACCACTTAAAATGTTGAAGACGCGACTAAAACAAAGCACAATCAAAATGAGTCTAAATGAGTACTCCAGTCAAAACAAAATTTCATAATGGATATATTGTATAAATGCCCATTTATTATAGTCTGAAAGTTATTTGTGGGAGGAGCTAAGCACTGCAGATGACATAATTCGATCCCATGGATGACACTCTTGCAGACTGCCCTATTCAAATCAACACAGCTATCAAATGGATTTTATTTGATCACTAATTGAGATTTTTGCTTCTTATTAAAGACATATAACTCAATCAATGTTATCTTGCAAATGTTTTTTTGGGAATGTCTTGATTGGATTTCTCATTTAGCTTCTGAATTTTTTTCTCTCGAAAAATAAAAAACACAAATGTTTCACAAAACCTCATGTAAAACGCAAATATAATGTAAAAACTATACCAGCACAATGTTTGAGAGAGCCCTCCCCAAAACTGATGGTTCTACCGCTTCACTAGGTGGGTGTGATGGTTGAAGCTCAGGGAGGGGTGAGGAGAGGAGACTCCACCTACCAGGATCCCAGGTACTGATATTGTGGGGTGCACTGGATTGGTGCTCGAGCTGCCTCTTCGCGAGCTGCGACATTGCGAGCGCTCCCAGAGAACCCCGTTTCATCTGTCTATATTGTGCTTGGTGGACATAAATAAAAGCGGCAATATATTACAGGGCGGCAGCTTTTCTTCTCTGTGTTATACAATGGAGTTTTCTACATTGTGGTGTGTCTTTCCCTAGCCTGGTACACAATATGTCTCTCCTACAATTGCTTTCCAATATTATATATTGTTGATCTATAAGTGTTGATCTATAGGTGTTGATATAATGGGGTCGTTCTACATTCAAAGAAAAATATGGAAACCTCCATGAAGGTTCTCATTGGTCCAGGTCATGGAAGAGCTAGTAGGAGGTCATCACTCAGGTCATGGTATAGCTAGTAGGAGGTCATCACACTCAGGTCATGGTATAGCTAGTAGGAGGTCATCACTCTAAGGTCATGGTATAGCTAGTAGGAGGTCATCACACTCAGGTCATGGTATAGGGAGTAGGAGGTCATCACACTCAGGTCATGGTATAGCCAGTCAGAAGTAATCACACTCAAGTCATGGTATAGGGAGTAAGAGGTCATCACACTCAGGTCATGGTATAGGGAGTAGGAGGTCATCACACTCAGGTCATGGTATAGCTAGTAGGAGGTCATCACACTCAGGTCATGGTAAAGCTAGTAGGTGGTCATCACACTCAGGTCATAGTAAAGCTAGTAGGAGGTCATCACTCTCAGGTCATGGTATAGCTAGCAGGAGGTCATCACATTTAGGTCATGGTATAGTTAGTGGACATTCAGCACATTCAGGTCATGGTATAGCTAGTAGGAGGTCATCTCACTCAGGTCATGGTGTAGCTAGAAGGAGATCATCACATTCAGGTCATGGTACAGCTAGTAGAAGGTCATAACTCTCAGGTCATGGTATAGCTAGTAGGAGATAATCACATTCAGGTCATGGTATAGCTAGTAGAAGGTCATCACTCTCAGGTCATGGTATAGCTAGTAGGAGATAATCACATTCAGGTCATGGTATAGCTAGTAGAAGGTCATCACTCTCAGGTCATGGTATAGCTAGTAGGAGATAATCACATTCAGGTCATGGTATAGCTAGTAGAAGGTCATCACTCTCAGGTCATGGTATAGCTAGTAGGAGATAATCACATTCAGGTCATGGTATAGCTAGTAGAAGGTCATCACTCTCAGGTCATGGTATAGCTAGTAGGAGATCATCACATTCAGGTCATGGTAAAGCTAAGTAAAGAAATACTTTGCTGGGCAATGTATATTTCTTTGATCTGGATTCATTATTGAAAAAAGGGTTTCAGAGTTTAATATTACTTTACAGAATCCTTCTTTTTCTACAGCTTAACCTTACAGTAAAGAACACCTTCATACTTCACAATGTTATTATGTACAGAGCAAAGCAGCCATTCCACCCTTTGCCTTCAAACTTTCTTTTTCCCTTTACCTTTTTCCCTAAATTTGTAGCCAATTATCTAGTTTTTGCGGCAAAGCATTGATTATTTACAGTAAAGGCAACATTTTTTATTTTAGTTTTGGACAGAGTGCGGTAGGGTTAGACTTTATGCCTATTTAATTTTATGTTGTGTCCCAGTCTCATTGTTCCCGGTTTATGTCCCCAAGGAGATCCAACCCCTCTATTTGTCATGTGACCATTGACATTGAGACAGAAAGCAATGGGATGAGTCCATATGATCCAGCACAGATCAACTTCAGGATCCCCACTTGTCCAATCAAAAGATATCTTGTATACCATGAAAAGAATACAAGATGTTTTATGAATGGAGGAAGAGGGGCAGCGAGCGACAATCTTCTTGACTGTACAGGAGACGGAACTGTGATTTACAGCATCTAAAGTGTGGAAATTACTGTCGTTGCAGGGAAGAGTAAAAGTATGACTTTTATAAAAAATCAATATATAAAACACCCGTCATTGGAGGTCATTTATAGGTACATAGCACTTTTCTGGAGTTTTACTTTAAGTATCAATCTAACATCATAATGTATCTCGGGTGACTTGTTACAGCGGAAATTTGAAATTTGTGGTTTGTGACGTGCTCTGTGAACCTCTTATATGGCAAAATGATGCGCAGTGTTGTTGATGTAACTTTTTCTCCTGTGGTAAAACAATACAAATTAAATGAACAAAAAAAGAACATGGTTATATGAATTATTCCATCCTGTAACTATACTGCGCGCACACAGAAATTCCGATCCCCAATAGTAGATATTTGGAATTCGGATCCCAATAGTATATGTTTGGAATTCAGATCCCCAATACTAGATATTTGGAATTCAGATCCCAATAGTAGATATTTGGAATTCAGATCCCAATAGTAGATATTTGGAATTCAGATCCCCAATACTAGATATTTGGAATTCAGACTCCCAATAGTAGATATTTGGAATACGGATCCCAATAGTAGATATTTTGAATTCAGATCCCAATAATAGATATTTGGAATTCAGATCCCCAATAGAAGATATTTGGAATTGAGATCCCTAGTAGTAGATATTTGGGATTCAGATCCCCAACAGTAGATATTTGGAATTGAGATCTCCAATAGTAGATATTTGGAATTCAGACCCCCAATAGTAGATATTTGGAATACGGATCCCAATAGTAGATATTTTGAATTCAGATCCCAATAATAGATATTTGGAATTCAGATCCCCAATAGAAGATATTTGGAATTCAGATCCCTAGTAGTAGATATTTGGAATTCAGATCTCCAATAGTAGATATTTGGAATTGAGATCTCCAATAGTAGATATTTGGAATTCTGATCCCCAATAGTAGATATTTGGAATTCAGACCCCCCATAGTAGATATTTGAATGTGTTAAAGGAGAACTATGTGGTCAGAGCTTTTCCCCATAGTTCTCCTAAGGGTCACGGGAGAAAACAAACTAGCGTTCTCCCGTGACCTAAAGCTCAGTATATAGAGAGCTACAGCTCGCGGTATACTGAGACGCTGCAGCCGGAACGGATCCCGACAATGCTGTCTGGATCCACCCAGATGCGTGAGTGACAGCTGGCTCTGCCCATCCAGAGGCAAAGCCAGCTGTGCCCGCCCCCTCCCCCGTCCGTTCCGCCAGTCAGCGCTGGAGGATCGGACAGGGGAGGGGGGAATCCCAGCAGGGAGCCGTCAGTGACAGTCACGGCTCTCTGCAGGGATAGATCGAGAAGTGAGCAAATGACGGGACGTGTTCGCTCACTTCCCGATCTACTAAGCCGACCTGTGACAGTTTCATTGTCACAGGTCGGCTCAGATTATGAGGCTGAGTGAAAATCTTTCACCTCATAATTCTCTTTTTAATAACAACAACAACAACAACATTTAAATCAATGGAACTTACTTGCAAGAGAAGAGCGACTACTGGGCTCCGGAATCCCGGCCTCTAGGGTTGGTGCGGATGACAATTCTCTTGGCATCTCTAAAATGGAGAGTGCTTTAGAGTCTGACTCTGGCAATAAAGATTTAAATATTTAGTTAAAGGTAAGCTTCAAGCAAATAGCTAAATACACATATGGAATAGATGCAAGGGAGCTGTTTTACCTGCCAAAGGATTTACTGTATATTTCTGTCCATCCAGTACTGAGAATTACACAGACCTATCTGGCAGGGCAAGGGACCTGATTTCTTCTCTGCTGTAATTCAGTAACACTTACAGATCTTGCCTCTCCCCCATCCTGAGACTGGACAGCAGACTGATGAGCTCATCTGCTCTCTGTCACTCTGCTCTCTCTACCTATCAGTATATCCCTTGTTAGCACATGAGCACTGCAGCACAACTGATTGGTTCCTTGTGCTTGTTCTCCTGCTCCCAGTCCGAACCCCGCTGTACTGGGACTCCAGGGGCCAATATCAGGTCACAGTCAGGTACTTACGCTGCTTGCATTTAAAAATATCCATTGCACTGCACTGCTGAATAGATTTCTGCAGAACTGAAGAAAGAAAACACTGCCCTGCTTTTCAGTATCAACTAAGTTGGACCAAATAAGATACTCATATCTTTTAATGTAATAAAATATGGCACACTTCGTTTCAATAAAACATTATAGTGTATCTAAAATCAAAACTGTAACAATTTAGTTTTGGATGGGGGGGTAGAACGCGTGTCAGATTTGTATTACTGTCTGCAAATTCCCTCACCAGACCTCAGATGCGGTGGCAACCGGCAGAGTGAGGGAAGTCCTCCCAGGTCTTTCCTGGGTTGTGTCTCATGAGCTAAGGAGGAGCCTAGGACTTCCCTTGGCTCTGCAATCTGATCTGAGGTTTGAGAGACAGGGGGGAGGGATCAAAGGTCAGATCCTTCCCCCAAAGAAAGTCTTGGTTGGAGTTGGTCTCTAAGGTAGGTCACATAGGAACTGGTGTTAACAAGGAAAAACATCCGCTTGCATGAAACAACAGAGCCTTTGGAAGCTCTATGTAGGCCTGGCATTCCTCAGGGTGCCACATACAGGCCTCCAGGACTGAGAGGAAAAGAGAGAGTTATAGAGAGCTTTTTCAGCAGCTGAATAATATCTCGTTCTCAAATTTCTCAAAGTTAGATTAGAACTCACCTGCGTCTTTCTGTTCTCCCAGCTTGTCCAGGATGTTGAAAGTTATGTCTAGGTATTCCCTCTGTATTGCGCTGACTGCGATCTTCCTTTGCTTTCTCTGCCTGGGGACAATGTGTATTTTAAACTCGGATTCTTCTGTTTCTTCCTTGTGCTCCACATTCTGCTCTTTGTCGGATTCCGTGCTAGCATCAGGCTTATCGCTCTCTGCCCGGTTTTCAGATGCCTCTGGCACATTCAGGTAGATGCTCTTTGCAGGAGAATTGGCTTCCTCTGCTGCGTCCTCAAAACTGTCATCCACCGACATCCCGGTGAGTGCGCAAGACTTGCGCAGCTGGTCTCGCTTCTGCTTAAGAGTGAGCGGGCTCCCGATGGACGCCTCCTGAGAGTCTCCTGGCTTCTCCAACTCTTCCAAGTCTTTTTGATCTTCTAGAGAAGGGATATCGTCAGCTTCCAAAGATGGATTATAGCTGAAATCCTTGGCAGTAAAGCTTATAGAACAGTCTTCCACACTCACTTGTACCAGGGGCATCATGCTAAGGCTTAGTACTGAGGCACTGATGGGAGTTGAGGAAGATGAGACCACAATATTCTCACTGTTCAGGAGCTGGAACTCTTCATCATCACTTTCTACTATTCTCAAGGGAGGTAGAGGCTCAAAGACCAAAGAGTCACTGTCAGAGGTGGATAAAATGGACTGTTTTTCTGGCCCTGATGTTGAATCTGAAGACAAATCGATGAGGTCTAAATCTTCTCTTGGTGAAGGCAGCTTTACCGGAGATTCCACCTTGACCTCAAATGTCTCCATGCAGCTTAACCTCACCTCTGGTATGACGGGTCTCCTGATTTCCTGGTAGCTCTCTCTTTCTGTCGGATTCTCATTGCTGTCTTCATTATCAGGTTTCGTGGATGAGTTCTGCCTTGAGCGTCCATAGTCATTCATTTTCTGGGTATTGGGGTGGCTGATGTCGCACCGGTCGATGCAAGACTTCCGGCGATGCTCATCAAGAGTGAACAACAAAGAGTCGGTGTTGCCGATGTCTAGGGACTTTTGTTTCAGGGATCGTAACCTCTTCTTCTGGGCGGTGTCTTCTCTCACACAACGTAGAATGCTGTCCCCAGATTCTCTATATTCAGCCAGTTCAATCTCACCTAGAAGTAAGGTAGGAGACTAAGAAGTCATCATGACATTTCAAAGAGAGTATTCTGCTTTAGAGATAAGAATTGTTACGCCAACGGGAGAGATGGAAAATGATTCCTTCCCTGGTATGGACAACATACTAGAAAGGGGCCTGGCTTCATGGAAAACATAATTTCTGTACATTTATGAAATGTTCTCCAAAAATACATTTCATGAAGAAAGATGATTCCTTTACAGTATTCCCAAAGAAGAACACTGAAGGTTACCTCTAGAAAATGTCTCTTAACCTAAAATGGCTTAAAACAGACAAAAATAGGCTGTACTTAGATCAGCATCTGATGTACAAATATTATTATCCAGAAAACCATCAATACATTACTAAATTATGGGAGAAAACCAGTGCACACAACATTGTGAGGCAACACAAACTTCATCCAAATAGTGCCCTTGTAGGGAAGTAAGTAAAGGATGGACACCGGCATTCCAAAGCAAGTTCAGTGCGTGTTTATTAACGTACTAGTTGCAAGTAGAACACTCTAAACAACATTTCGGGGTCTCACAGGATCCCCTTCATCAGGCATTCATCACTTGTTTGCCTGATGAAGGGGATCCTGTGAGACCCCGAAACGTTGTTTAGAGTGTTCTACTTGCAACTAGTACGTTAATAAACACGTACTGAACTTGCTTTGGAGTGCCGGTGTCCATCCTTTACTGATATTTTGTCGGTAGCCACCCGCTGACACCTGCTGCACCCACCCTCCAATTTTGGAGCAGCGGCTCTGAGTGCGATGAGTACACTGACTTTGTCTATGAGGGAAGTAGATCCGAGACCCCATTTGTAACTTCTAGGCCAACCAAAGGATAAAGACAATATTCATACTTCTCTGTGCGTTCATCTCTACCGGTTGGTATTTCACCATCTTGCTCCCGCCAATCCTCTTTAATCGGGCAAAGAACGTCTGTGATTCCTTATTACTGGCTCCGGTTGGTGTATCATGGATGTCAGACTCATCAAACACGCTGTCCTCCTCCGCTAAGATAGAAAAGCAGAAACATTTTAGAATAAAAAAAAAAAATAGGTGTTGAATCATCTGGACTACAATCAGAGCTCGTCCCTGTGTATACGGTTTTAGCGTTCACAACGAGCCACACAGAATGTCTGCTTTGTATGTTTTCTACATCCCAAAAAATGAGGTCTTCACTGGCAAGATCTACTGCCACAGTTCATGGTGATACTTAACTCCATCAACTGCAAGATGGGTGTGCTCCCTTGACCTGTTGCGTAATCTCAACAGGTCAAGCAGAATAGCAGATTATAGATTTGTATTATTTTTATCCGGCAGTTACTTTTACCATGTTATAGGCTCTCCGTAGCCTATTTCTTATTGGAGTTTTCCCTTTTAAACAAGAAATGGCTGCCAGGACCGCCCTTTAATGAGGCAGCCATGGCATCGCTTTATTGTCATGTGGGGGGTGGCAGGCAGAGTGGCATGGCCGCTATACTACACAATGTTTGCAATGTGCCTACCGCCCCCTTTCTGGCCAGAGTGCCCTAGGTTGTGTAAGGGCCAACACACATCTCCCCTCCCAGGTCTCAGCAACCTTGGACAGCATCCTGCCAAGCTCCTGGCAACCAGTGACATCAGTGAGCCAGAGCTGGGCAGTGAGTTGATGCACCACCCCCATTAGCATTAGCGTGCACCACCAGTACCAACTGCCCAGGTAATCCCCACCCCCCTAGACTCAGGTGGAGAAAATTCTTGGAACACCACTGGTGGCTGCCATGGGCAGCTACTCCAAATATTGTTGTGACAGAGCTGTTGCATTCACCTTTCTCCTTTTCACTGTATCTGCTGATGTTGCTGTTGTCGCTGTACAGCGGTCCAGCCGTGGCATGCGGTTTGCAGCTGTGATATTGGGCGTTGAGGGTGTTGACGGTGATGTGGATCAGATGCAGCACTATCTTGCTGAGGTCATCTTCTCTGTACGGGTACTGCAAGATATCAAATTCATATTAGTATGCAGCCATATTAATGTGGAGCATTGAAATGGCGTGGCCCATGTCAAACCATCAGACACCAACTACAATCAGTCTAATTGAAATAGATGATCATCCTAAATGTTACTCCACAATTACAAAGAATACTAACCGTCCGCTCGACTCATCCCAAGACCTCCTGCTTTCCAGCTCCCTTGTCAACTCCTCCCATGCTCGCCTCCAGGACTTCTGTAGAGTTTCTACCATCCTCTGGAACTCTTTACCCCAACCTGTCCATCTGTCTCCCCCTCTGACTGCCTTTAGGGGATCCCTAAAGACTAATTTCTTCAGGGAAGCCTATCCCACCACAACCTAACCGCTCAACCATCACGTTCTCAAACATTCATCTTTTAGACTGTAAGCTCTCAGGGGCAGGGCCCTCCTTACCATCTTGTCTTGAATTGTAATGGAATTGTAATGTCTTCCTTATATTGTAAAGCGCTGAGCAAACTGTTGGCACTATATAAATCCTGTATAATAATAATACTATCATCATGGATGCTCAAAGCTGAACTACAGGCAAACACCAAAATATGCAGATAAATTACAAATATGGAAGCTTAAAAAAAAAATATTGTGTATTTGTCCATTCATTTCTGCAAATTATAGTTCTGCCACAAAAGCATAGCCCTGTATGGTGGGGCAGCGGGCTTGATTTTGCTTGCGGCAGTTAAGTAACACATACAGGTCTTATTAACGTATTCCCTATTGCCAGGTCTTGTCCCTCCCCCAGCCTGTGACTGGACAGTGAAAGGAGAAGCAGATCCCTAATGAGCACATATCTCTTCTTTGTGAACACAAGCACTGCAGCAAAGCTAAAAGGACTCATTGTGCTGCTTCTCCCTTCCCACCCCCTGAGCTCTGCTGTAGAGGGACTGGAAGAGACTGATACCCGGTTGAATTGAGGTTCTTACACCTCTTGCTCTTAAAAAAATACATTTAGGATGCATTTATAAATACAGAGCTGGATTCATTTGTGTATTTTTATCTGCTGGTTGCTCAGCCTCATAGAATTTTTAGAGTAAGATCAACTTTTCCACAGATAGGGAAGAAGCAAAAGTCTCATAATAGCCCGTCATTACACTATATGAACCTGTCATAGTAAAGGAAAACACACAGCACCGCTACATTGTTTCCGTTAATTTATTCTCCGATAAAGGAGTCTGCTGACACGCTGTCACACAAGATGATGACCTGTCCTCGGAAAGTGTCACACATAGACCGATAGGACCACCTCTGTGTCATGGAGTCAGACCAGCTCTGACAGGTGTCTGAAGTGTGAGTGACCCAAAACCTCGCGAAGAGATTCTATTAACATAAACATGGAATTGTTTGTATGGAAATCAACAGCTTGAAAAGCAGCTGACAGCCAATGATCTGAACAGAGGTGAGCTATATTTCTACATATTAATAAGATTTATGTACAAACAATCAAAGTGTTAGTTCTGGCTTCCAGTGCGAATGGTAATTTTGTTTTGCCAAGGAAGCCCAAAAGCCCTGTAATGGAAATATCCAATTGTTACATTTCATTAAATAAGTAATAAGAACCCAACAGAGTTTTATGTCCTCCCTTGCTCCCTCCCTTCCTCCCTCCCTCCCTTCCTCCCTTCCTTCCTTCCTTCCTTCCCAGCAATGTAGATGGGAAACATGCATCCCAAATACACAGTATTGGTTAAAACTGTTACAACAGAATCATTCTCATATCTGAAGTATAAAGAGACTGAGAAACAATGTTGGAGGTTATGTTATAGTGACGTATTACATGATATTGGAACTGGGGGATTAAAGGGGGAATATTCGAGGTTCCAGATAGTGATGAGCGCAATGCTTTACCTGAACCCAGATTTGCACAGATAAGACCAATCTATGGTGGTTGAATATTTCCTTCCTGGAAAAGTGCTCCACTCAATGTACTAATAAATTATACCTTTTATAACCCTTACTGGTCCACCTCCCCATTGCAAATTGCACTAGCCCTAAGGTAAATGGCAACTGTGGATTGTATTGATGGCCAGGCATGCCCATATGGCTCAGTATAGATACCCCTCTATGGACATCATTTGGGTGATTGAAGGACATCATTTGGCTCTGAGGAAGGGGGTGTAGCCCCAGAAATGTGTTAGTCTTTGGCTGAGTGTATTACGTGACCAGCACTCCTGTCAGTTGAAGATTGATACACGTCCTTTCAGCCTGTTACTATGTGGATTATAGCTACATCTGCTGACTACTGAGGTGGATTTATGTAATAGGGCTCATCATTCACAACATTTGTGAGTATGTTTTTACTTCTCTTTTTACATCAATAAAGTGTCACTACACAAGGGAAGGCGCTCTCTGGTTTTTGCTTTTAGAATAACTGATCAGTGAAGTTTCCCAATCTGATGAGGTGCGGCTACCCTGAATGAAGTGGTTTTCGGTGTATATAAGCATGGTCCCTTAGTCGCTGTTGGATGAATTTGTTGGGCGAGGCTTTGGGTGATGGACAAATACTTTTGAAAGAAGTGCAAGTGGCAGAGTGTCTTCCCTGGCAGAACATTTGATGTGCAAGTATCAGTTTTCTTATGGGAGGGTCAGGTTGGAAATGTATTGTTGTATAAAGGCCTCTGGTGTGTATGTATACAAGTGGAAACATAACACAGCAAAATTAACTCCAAAATCATCAAATTTTGGGAGGCGTCCACTGGATATGATAAGGGGTGAGTTGGGGATCTTTTACTAAGTTGTATCAATTAATTTAACTAATCAAAAGTGGTATACCACCCAATAATTTCATTTCAGCTTCAGGAACCTGCTAGTGAGTTGAAGGAACTTCTTCAAGTGAGTTGAAGGAGCTTCCTCTATTATCACTCCAGTGACAAGCTCTCCCCACTGTAGTTACTAGCCCTGGTCTTGCCACATTTGAGGCTCACCCCTCGAGCAACAGCCTGCAGGACTCACCACTCCAGCTGCTGAACCCTAAATAATTTCAGGCAAGTGAAAAGCACAATAGGAAGAACAAGACCCCCTGCAGATGGAGGTAACAGGTTGTCAGACCCGGAAACCCAAGCATGGGACTTACCATCAGTGTCCCTGAGGGATAAAGCAAGCTGGGAGGTAACACAACCTGCCTTTATCTGCTAATAATCGAAGCATCAGTTGGGTAGACTGACTCATTATAGACAGTTTTAACATGTGTTAGAGTATTACATTCCACTACTTATCTGTGTTCATAGTCAATAAATGTATACCAAATCATGGCCTTACCTTATAGAGGATAACAAGAAGAGCCTTTAGCCACATCTGACGGATGTGGGGCTTCAGAGACCAGATGGAACAGCGTGGAGGCTGCTGGAAGAAGTGGCGGAGCTGGGGGCAGGTGCAGTATTTTAGAACTTGTACCACCAGGGGCAGAAGGTGCTTTCCGAGATTGATGTTGAAATCCATCACCTGCAGATAGGTGCAACTGGGTTAAAGAATAATTACTCTTGAAGGGAACCTAAAACCCTCTATATATAATTGTGACCAGTAAAGATGAGTGAAACTGGGAGTTTTGTCTTTGACAAAATTTTGGTGAAAATCAGGATATTTCTCCAAAATTTCACCAATTTAGCTAAATACATTGAAGTCAATTACAAAGGTAAAATTGAGGTGGTTTGGAAAACAATGGTCTTTAAATGACTACTGAGAATTAGGGAA